TCTAAAGAGTCTATTCTGGGAGTCTAAAAAAAGGTTTTTATCTCTTATTAAACATCCCAAAATGCGTATTTGGTTGAGTTTGCCGATTACTGCAAGAGTAGATGTAAATGTTTGCGTGATATAAGCTTCCGATGTAAACTTTAAGAGTTAATTACCGAATCCAGAATATTCTATGCAGCCAAAAATTATTTTCCAGATGCATAACTTTTATTGCCTTATGATCAGGCTTTGTAGGATATCAAATAAAGGGCTAAAGTTAGTTAAACAACTAACAAAAGATTCATGTTACTTTTAAATAATGGAATTTGAACGCCGAAAATAGTTTATTATCACTATTTAGCATGTAGCTGTTAACACAAAAGAAGTAATAAATGAAAACTCAAATTTCGCAGCTCATAAAAACAGATGGCTTGGATAAAAATACTAAGGCTTAATTTTAATAAGTAAAAAGAAATGATTAAAGACTACTGTTCTTAAACGACTTCCGAATATTGAAATACATATTTTAGAAAAGATACTCTCAGAATATATCTCTTCTCAAAGCACTATATATTCTTAAAAAATTGGACCTACTCACTCGGAAGACGAGATTATTGATACTTTCTGCGTATATCTATGTTCGTTTATCACTTATGAATAGATCAATTATGAAGAAAACTACAGAACATGACTCTATTCTAAGTAAACTAGGGCCCCAGGAAAGAATATCTGTACTGTGAGGATATCCAACAATAGGGCATAATAACTAATATGCTCAATTTAGTATAAGGTTTGGATCAGCCATCTTTGAGATAATTAATAAGATTTCTTTGAGATGATGATTAACTATGTGTATCGGCTTGTTAATATTGGTTAATTTCAGTAATTGCAATACGGGCCTAGTGAAGAAACTATAGAATTAAGTAACCAATAAATTGTATATGAGATTATAAAAAAGGGGTAACCTTTTAAAGGGTTAGATCGTCCAATTTTCGCAAAATATATCTCTAGTGGTAAATTTTGTGTAGTATCTGATTATGTTTAATTAATACGATTGCACATTATTTTACCCAGCTACTAAAATATTATAACATATTAGATTATTTTACAAATTTAAAATTACAGACCAGGGGTATTACCAAACCGTCAATTATAAAATGCATTATATTTAAAAGTTTATATAGTTAAGAAATCAGCACATTTAATTTGCATAATTTTATTTTGCTTGCTTCTTTTGGCCTATAGCCAACTATATTTATCGCGCAATTTCGAATGAGCATCTGGGTTTTCATGCCTTTTTACTTTTTTGTGTACTTACGACCGCTGCCTTATGCATCGTAACTTGTCATTATCTCTATTAAGGTATCTTACGTACACTTTTGTTTTTATACAGACAATTTGATTACGAAAACTATATTGGCAGTATATTTTTGCCCCATCGCCTTCGAAATTTAGCTCTTGTTGTACGCTTATTCGATTTCCAATTATCCCAGGTAAACCGCACTGTTTCTTTAAATATCAAAGATACCTTATGTTGTAAAGTCTTCTGAGCTTGCTTGCTCGCGCTACAGATTTTGGAGGGAAGCTATTGACCGGGTTTACGATGACTCAATTATCTGCAACACTCCTATTGAAAAAGCTTTGAAGAAGGTTTATTATGGATGTTGAAGAGTAACTATTCTAGTGTCTGCATAATTCCAACGTCTCAAAGAACTGGTTCACTGCATTAATTAAGGCTAGGGTAAGTCTTATTATTTCTTTAATCCCAAAGGAAAATCACTTTGCCTTAAAGCCTTTTGATACTCTTGCGGATCTAGAACTTTATAGTGACCAGACCTGCTCTTCTATCCTATTTATTCTTGCGCAAGCCTTGGGTAAGGCATTTTTATTTTCAGCGTCTTTGACTCCGACTTATTTATTTTATAGGGCATGCCTCTACTGATTTGGATCATGCGCTCAGCCACCTAGGCAAGTCTCAGGGAATTTTACGCCTGGTTAGAGGAATAGTCCCTTTAGCTAGGCTTCATCGTGCCCTTATACTTCCCACAGATCTTCTTTGCCAGGTAATTCTAAAATATCAGACGTAAGGAAAATCTTCCAATTAAATGTTTTTATTTTTTTTGGTCGTATTAACATTACATTATATTTACGTCATCCTTATCTCCTGAATCTTGTATTCGCTTCTAGTTTCCATTTTGTTTATGCAAAGTGCTCTTGATTTGAATGAAGCTTCTTTTATATAGTAGATAACAACATCAAGAGGGTTGGTCATTTTATTTTGTCGCGACCTCCTTTAACTGCCTAACGCTGTCTTGGCCATCGGCAACTTGGTCGGAGCATAAAGGAGGCCCTACGGGACGTACCTAGTCCTGCGTCCTCTGCCATAGTATTCATGATGATTTCCAGTGCCGGGCTGTTGACTCGACATTTCCTCGACATCGTGGTCAGCATTGTCACTAAGAGGCACCGTCCTTATCAGGGAGCTACAACTTAGGGTGACGAGCGAAGGCAATCTGTTTAAACATCGTGACATCACTCCTCTCTCTTATTTTTGTCCTGACTTCTAAAGCTATCGTTTTCTCCAATGTCACCTAAGGGTGTCGCTAAGAGTGGATTTAGTGAAGCATAATAACCACAGCCGGTTTCAGATGCCATATGCAAGACTTCGTTTATACTAAAGCTCCTTTGAGTTACTTTAACTTTTTTTCTGTGCTGGCCATTATTTTCTTATGCGATTTTCCATCTCAACAATAAAGTTGAGTATTAATAGTCTACATTAGAAGACGTTTATTCGGAATTTGAAATATACACAAGGAATGTACCTAGCCAATGTTATAATGGTAGAAACCACGAATAGTATGGCAGAGGACACGCGACTAGGTGCGTTCCACGAGGT